GTGAGCGATGTCATTCAGGGTCTCTCTAACCATCGGTTGCTATCATCTCGCGGTCCACAACCAGGTAGTCTACATGTGATTATTGTTAAAATTAGAGTATTATTGAGAAATTAAATTCAGTAATACAATAAACATGGCATAAACAGCTCTGATTCTTTATTTTCCTATGAAAAGAATTATATCCCTATATATCTGATGGTTTGTAAACCTTAAATAACATTTAAATTCTAATGGTTACTTATATTTATTCTCTGTGTATGGTGTACATTTATTGTGTTGTTTTAATGTTCGTTTGAAATTCAGATCTCCTAACCAGAATGTTTGCTTTCTTTTTTCTTTTGAGAGATCGATTAATGTATACAAATAATTCAATATTATCATCTAATTTCTGATTAGTTAATATTTAACTCTACTTTCTTCAAGTTGTTTTTAGTTTTCATAACTCATTAGTAAACTTTATTTTTACCAATAAGTACTTTATAATAAATAAATAAATAAAAAGTCACTAATTAGTTAATATTTAAGTAATAATGATATTACTGTTAGAGGCGGCTAAACCGAAACGTGGCATCAGTGCTTGAAGTCACCAACTTCTAGTCTGAACCATGTTGGTAGATGCAGACTACTTGGTTAGGGTCCGCGTGACTATTGTAACCAATGGTTAGAGACTCTTGGTGACATGACTCAGAATCGATCACAATGGCATAGGTGTATACCCTCTCTGTCTTCCCTTAAACTAAGAGATTAAAATTGCTTTATATCTTTCTTCCTATGAATTAATTCTTTCTTCCTGTACTATATCCTTATACACAATTATTCTTTTATATATTACTACCACTGAATTAACTATTTCTATGAATTCGGTGTTCATCTTGTTGTGCTAATTAGTGAAGTGTGGCAATTTGAACCGATGCATATATGTTTCTGGTCCTACGTTGTAGCTGACTGAATGATATTACTTACTTAAGCCTGTTACTCCTCGTAGAGAAGCATATGTCGCCCACCAGCACTCCACGTATAGCTCTTCCTGTCCCAAGCCCAGGTAAAGGAGGAGGTTTGGGCATAGAGTTAGCAACTCTATCCCATAGAAAACTAACTCACTAAAAATAAAAACGTTAACCGGAAATAATGATATTACATTTATTGAAATTCTATATTTCTTATACGCATCAATTCATTCAACTAAAGAATTTCTTTTCGTTTTTTTCATAGCAACAAATTCATTTTATAATGCTGTATAATCATGATAAACCATAAGCTTTTATAAACAAACTGTAATATTAACGTAATGATTTATGATAAGAGAATGATCTAGTTTAAAGTAAATATTTATACAAATGAAAGTTTACGGAATATATATATATATCATTTGCAATAGGGTAAACAGAGTAAACGTTTCTTTTAATGATTAACCATTAAGATCAATTGAATAGCTTGTGATCTTAATAATAATCATGAATATATATTACTTAATAGGTAAATAAATTAAGTAATAGGAATGTTTTTTGTTCGTGTATAAATAGCATAATTATAGTTATCATAACTGCAATTGTCTTTTGGATATTTTAATTTGAAGAAAAAAAGAATTTTTCAAGTTTTGACAACATACTACTTCAAGTAATTAGCATCTTTTTATGTTTCTATAAAATTAACTATAAATAGGATTATAAGCAAAGATTGATAGTGGCTAGCAGTGGAATCCAGGATGCGCGTTTCGTCCTATTTAGGACTCGTCAGCTGAATGTACCTGCATCTCAGGGTTGATGTTCACTATAGGACTCGAACCCAGTATCGTTCACTTCAAACATCATTGCGTTATCCACTTAGCTACTGAGTCCTGATAGCCACTTGCTTGTGCAACGGGGTATTATTTTACTTGGATCTTCTCATTGATGTTTAGGACTGCAATTGATCAGTCTGTTATTAGTATATGTGCATACTGTGCATATTACCTCGATACTGACTTAATTTACAAACTTATGTAAATGAAATCGTCGAAAAGAAAATCTTCATTGTGTTGCCTTCCTACTTTTTCAGTGTTGTAATGAGTTACTTTCCTTATTGATTAATCTATTTCTCTTGAACTTTCATAACAGTATAATTTAAGTGGCCGGTATTGATAGATAATGATGATGAGTTTATAGGTATTTATTAACCTGCTTTGATTTGGGCACGCGAGCAGTATCACAGCCCTCACACAAGTTAAATGAGATTTGTGTGGCGTATATGTATCTGGTGCCCCCTTGTACCAATATCTATGTGTTCGAATAAATAAAGATAGGTATTAATACGAAGGTTAGACTTGATAGTTTCAAATAAATTGAGCATTGGGCAGAGAGTTAATAATAAATTTATTTTTTTGTTGTTATATCCAAATGAGTAGAAAAATTGAATTTCTGACGTTTTGCGACTTCATATGATCCACTTCTTCAGAGTAAAAAGGTAACCACAATAAATTAACACAATCGGAGAGGGATTTCTTACATATTATATTAATTTAATAGTCGAATTCATGAGGTAGGATTGTGGATGCGCACTGCTGAGGGTTCCCACACTAGAACGAAACGGCCACCCAGGGCTTCCAGGTTTTCCATGGTGTCCGGCTTTCGGGATCGCAGGTGTGCACCACTGAGTAGTTCCGTCTTAGGACGAAACAGCCGTCCAGTGCTTCCAGGCTTTCGATGGTGGTCTGTCTTACATGGACTCTTGAATTCAGCTAAAATCAATACAAAATTACAGAATGTCTACGTAGGATATGAAAACCATACTTTAAATGCATCATTTGCACATCATCCATCAACATTCTTTTGCAAAATTCATCGCTGCTTCATTCCTGCTATTATTACAATTTCTCTTTGTTTATATTCCTGTTATCTTCAATTCGATTTCCTGCTGCCAGGCATTTCGCTTCTGATTAGCGTTACATAGCACTTATATCTGTCATCATCAGTAGCATACACTACGGTAGTACTAATCTCGTATCACTTAGGTTAAAGATGAAATATATATACGTGTATTCGTGAATATCTCAGTGAATAGCAAAACTATTGAATTTGTGATGTAAGTGAATATAACAAATTTGTACCTCTTAATTGTGTGATACTTGGACAGAACCATCATTATTATTGAAGTTAAGGAGAGATCGTTCGATTTCCACGAATCGGTCTTCGTCAGACTATTACTGAATATTAGGACGCACTAGGAATCTGTTTCGTCCTAGTGTAGGACTCTTCGGCGGTGCGCATCCATGACCCTACCGAGGATCATACTCAGAATTTATCAAAGCTGGACGTTTACACCATTGAATTCTGGTTCACTGGTTTAGATGTTTAGCGCTCGCATCCGATACCCAAGATCCTGGGCTAGTAACTTTACAGGATGGTGGTTGCAAATAGCTGGGGCGTCTTATACAAGGACGAAATGGCTTTCCAATACTTTCAGTTTTCGATAGCAGGCCACCTAAGATCAGTCCTTGATGTCATCTATAAGAAGAAAAATAATCCATGAATTGCTAACTCCTTTCTATTGAGTGCATTGGGGTTCAGCAATATATGTTATGCTTCAGGCACTTGTTGTTCTCGAGTTGTTCCTATATTTTCAGTATCGACTTGATGGTTAATAGAAAAGCACTCATCCTTGTTGCTGATTTGATTTGTAGATAATCGAATTCTACAAACCATTAGATTTTGTCGTGTGGTTTATATTTTCATTCGGTTGAATTGCGATTTTACGTGATTCCTATATTAAAGTCATCAGTAGACATAACCCAGTGTGTAGACACGATTGTTAGCAGAAGTAATTAGGGACTTTCCTTCCATTCTAACCAAAGCGTTTTGAGTACTTTTCAAATATTAGGGATGCCTAATTTTATTCAGTTTGAAAAATTATATCACTGTTGTAGGTTAGTGGTTTGGTTAAACTATGATAATAACCCATAACATTTCATTCAATCTATTATTTAACAACGAATCATTTCGTTTTACTACAGTTTTGAGGATATTCATCTAGAACGTATTAAATTACAAGATATCTATCTTATTATTCGCTTTCTTTTGAATTTAGAGACAATGAAAGTTTTGTATTGAATAAATGTGTAGATTTCAATGTTAATATGTTGGTCTATTCATGTGTCAGTTTATAGTAGTTAGTTAGATTTTTAAGTCTATCTGAATTTTCTATCAACTAGTCAGATCTAAAAATATCAACGTATTGTGTTCAGCTTTTGGTTTTCAAAAATTGAATTCAATGCGTATTTATCAATTTATATATAGGTAATATCAGAAGGGGTTTTGTGGATATTAAAGTAATTTTTAATAGTTGAAATCATGAGTCAATTGAAGTTAGGCCTCCATGGAAGCAATGCACGGCCGTTTCGACCTACTTCGGGGCTCCTCAGCAGCGCACATACACGATCCCGCCCTTTGGGATTTTAACCCAGAACGTCCGGTCTCGCGCGCGAACGCTTAACCTCTAAACCACTGATCCGGCATCCAACGGTGTTAATGTCTAACTTCAACTAATCCACAAAATTGGGCGACACATCCACCTTTGTCTCCAGTGAGTAACTATCTCACAGCAGACCCGCTTGAACTAAACTGGTCACGGCTTCTCACTAGAAATCCGGGAAATATCTCTGGGGGCTGGTGAGTCCCACAGTAGTACGAAACGGCCGTCCAGTGCTTCCAGGTTTTCCATGGTGGTCTAGCTTCTATTGACTCACGATTTCAACTATTAAAATATTATGTAGTTCTTAAGAATGAATACATTATTATTATTATTGAAAAATGTATCATTCACATATGTGAGCCAAATTTATTATTATTAGCATGATCTAAGTTTGAATTGTATTCCCAAGTGTGTTTGTTTTAATGCTTTAGATGTACAGTTATTATGCAGTAGATAAATTTTGTTTGGAAATATTTACATTTCTGTCTCCCACTGTATGTCGGAATTATTATTATTATTATTATTATTATTATTATTATTATTATTATTAACAGCAAGTGAAACAGAATCCTCGTAGTTCACGTAAATCATTAGAAGATTGTTATATGGTGATTGTACAACGTTGGACTAAAGTAGAAACGTTACTTGAATCAATTATACGAAATACATTAAGTAAGTATTTTAATATAGTTTCATAATTATTGAATTTAACCAATCCCTTTATTTTTTTAAAATTATTTTAGTGGAGTTTTGTTTTTCGAGCTGGATAGTTGTTTGGTTGTAGAATATTCATTGTTCTTCTGAACAACATCATGATGAACATTTATCTAGGCTACAAATCTTCACCACTATCTTAGTATTCCGATTTCTATCTGCAATCAAATATCCATCATATAATTACACTTTTTCTTTATTACTTTCATTCACAATACTTTGTTTTTAAATGTCGATGCAAGCGATCTTTGTTGTGTTTCACCATCTGATTTAATTACTATGTATACCTCTCACGGTACACCAAATTTAATATCCAAACGAATAAACTGGAACTGATCAGAATGGTGGATTGTCAAGTTGACTTATTATAATCTGTACTGCCATATATATATATATATATATATATATATATATATATATATATATATATATATATATATATGCATTTATATGTTTGTGCTATTGATCCAAACAAAAGTCTGCAAACCTAAACCTTATTTTATGTCTGACCGACTTCCTCCGAAAATTTGTCTCTCTTGTAATTTATCGACCAGTCGATAGTGAGATGTTGTTTGGGCTCTCTTAGACTAACAGTCTGTTACGCTTGAGCTGATTTTTATTATTTTCCTCCTATATTAGTGCGTAAGTCAGTATCCTAGTCATGTCCTCATTCATATTGAACTATGTAGCTTATATCTACATATGTCCTGATCTATTTTTATTTATGTAATTCGTATGGATTCGGGTACAATGTGGCACCAAAAATTGAATGTGCTGTTTAAATTAATGGTTTGTTTTGGTTGTGATATTGTCAGCGCACCCATACTGAACCACGAGCTTTTCTTGTAGAGCGTTTCTCTGAGTACCTCACCCGAACGTTTAATCTTAGAATAAAACCTGCAACTTCAGGAGCTGTTGGCTCATGGTGGTTGATGACCTCAAATAGGTTTGTATTCTACTCGTTCTTTCAGGATTCTGAAGCCTATTTTCATACTACTGGTTTAAAATTACAAATTTGCAACACTTCTGCGTGGAATCTTTGTATATGTCATCCGGGTTCGTTAAAAAGTTTACCCTTGCTACCCAGTAGCGCCACATGGAGGAATTGAGTCGACTTTGGCTACTATATCCTTTTTAAAATTTTGTAATCGTTAATAACTAACTAGTGTATAAATGTCAGTTATCACTAACATAAACTAAACCTATCGTTTTTTCTTACCAAAATAAATATTGAATAACATGTTTCGTAGGCAAAATCCAATTTCCAGTGTACTACAAAGCAGTTTTGATACTTTGATCTAACTTAATAATTGAGTAGTTACCTAAGTTTAACTCTGATCATCCACTTAATACTCTATTTTGATCTAATAACTTTGGATTTTTTGAAGTCGTTTTTCAATCGTCACCGACTCTACTTCATAATACTTACGTTAAAAAAAACCAAAGATAGTAATAACGTAAAATAATCTTGAAATACATGCCTAAGAATATGATTTCGAACAGTTCCACACTACTTAACAATGTCATGAGAAGACGTATATTGGACACCGGTTATTAACTTAGTCCTGTTACTGCTTTTCGGATAATAAATCGACAGAGTAATGACAGATTTCCACGCTATACAGAAGCAACCGCTACCCATCGTTCCAATTTTAGTTTATGTTTACTGACGCTGTCATTGTGACTAATTCATCGTTAGCCTTCTCTTCCTCCTTTTTTTATCTCTCTTGTTTCCAAACAAAATATTGTAAGTTTTGTCTTATTTGTTTGGATTCATCTTTGTTTCATAACTTATATTTTCATTGTTCAATATAGTCAGTCACTTCTAATTTGTAGTTATTATTACTTCATTGTTTTAACATGACTCAATAAAATGTTTGACCTTTTATCAATTTAGTCATGCCACTACCTCTATTTTCTCGTGTCCCCTTCAACTAATATAATTAAGATCATTGTTGTTATAACTTCACCTTTTGATTTTTTGGTAGTTGATATTACATTGATCATTCTGTCTACCGTCATCATAACAGTATGTATTTGATTACATCATAATCTTTCTTCATTTCTGTTACTTAATCCTCTCACCTTGTACGAATATAGAAGTCATGTATAATTATTTTTCGATAGTGAAACCAATCAGTGTGTATATGAAAAGAATCAAATCACACGAAACGATTAGACGAATTCACTCTCTTCCGTTATTTTCTTTGTTCTTTTTGTATAAAATTTAGTTCAAGTGCTTTGAATTACCACTCTGTAGAAATTGGGAACTTGTAATGAAGTTATTTACTCACATATAAATTACAGCGCAAAAGCTAGTTGCTATCTGAACTTACTAGCTCAATAGACTAAGACATTGTGAATCTGAAGCCTAAGGTACTTGATCCTCATCCTCATATTAAGTATTAACATTGATTTGACAGGTACGATTTCCTGACCGCTCTCAAATATGATGAAATAGGCATCCATTAATCTAACTTTGCTTAAAACATGACAACAACAAAGCAATCTACTCATGATTGCATATGCCAGTCAGTCAGTAACAACGTAGAACTTCGTACATACGTACATCAGTTCGAGTTGCCATACCACATTAGCACAGAGATGCAGTTGTCGATTCAAATCCCGTAGTGGTAGAGCTAGTAAGAGTATAAGCGGTAATCGGAAACATTAGGGTCCGAAGATGTTATTCAAGGAGTATAATTCAGGGAAATAAATTTAGAAAGAGAAAAAAAAAGACAAGGAGGATTCAGGAGATTAGAATTTGGAAGAACACAAAGAGTGGATGCACCTGCGCCATTGCAAACGATTTTGAGCGATGTCATTCAGGGTTTCTAACCATCGGTTGCTATCATCTCGCGGTCCCCAACCAGGTAGTCTACACCTACCAATATGACTCATTCCACTTGTCAGTGGCTTCATGGACTTGTGCTATGTTTTAGTCTGGCCGCCTCTAGCTTTCTTCCAACCTACTCCTGCACGTCGGGGCAGTTGATAGTTGGGCATGCGTAACACGTGTCCCAGCCATCTCAACTGATGAAGTTTCACTACTTCATCAATTGATTTGCCATCCTTACGTAGTACCCGTTTCCTAACAACTGCATTACTTACTCGATGGTCCCAGGATATACGAGCAATATTTCGAAGACACCTATGACCAAGTACTAGTAACCTACGGATATCCTCTTTCAAATTATAAATAACAAAGTACATAATATGTAGTTTTTATTCTTAGTACTTATGGTTCCATTCCATGTTTCTTTTCTATTTCTTCTTTAAAACCATAATTCACTTTTTTAACAACTTCAAGATGATGATAAAGAAGTTGCGAATTTAGAAATTTCTCGTAAAGCAGTCAAATCACTAATAAAATCTTCAGAAACTATATTGACAGAATTTGAATACACTGGAAAATTGAGAGAATTTGCCATGCGCCTAAATGTATCTGATACGACGACTGGTACAACAATGATGTCATTATCAAATAATACTTCATCGGATGAAATGCAATTACTTAATGAATTGAACTCACCTAATGCAAAGTTAATTAATCATGGACGATTATATGCTAATCCAATGGTTTCTGGTTGTGGACTACAGTGTGAGTGTTTGATAGCTAGTTCTGTATTATTCATTATTCATTATTATTATCATTATTATTATTGTTATTATCGTTTAGCTAATTTATTTGTACATGATTCAACATTATACTTTTGTGACTTGATTTTCTGGTCATAACTGATTCAGTACAAGTGAAATAGCTCGTATATTACATTCTTAAGTGTTAATCGTAGTGGTATTTATTGTGTATTTAGATACTACTCGATATCACGTGTTAAATCCGTTTACAGTTTCTCTATCCCGCGTCGGTTATACCGATCATAAACTAGCATTTCAGCCTTTAACATTATGGCGTTATGGCCTGCACAATTGACCGTAAGTTAGCTTGATCTACGGATTTATTGTTTCGTCTACCCTCAAGTTTTTCCATATTTTCAATCTTCAGTTCAAAAGAGAATTCAACACTCATGAATCTACTATTATCATACTTCAATTACCCAGGATACCACTGCACTTCAAATACCTGGAGTACTTCTTTTATAGTCTGAAAGTTCCTATGCACATAGGCCAAGCTTATTACCAAGGTGTGACTATAATTACAATAAAAGGTACTTAAGTCGTCATAGGTAATTTAAGTATATATTCTGTGTAGTTGACTCTTAAAAGTTATCTCATGTTAAGTAGCTATGTAAATTTAAATAATTAAAATATAGTAAATTTCCACTTAATGTTTTCTAGATGATTTCCATTTGATGATCATCAATCCCTTTTAGGTAATGTTCTATCTATATTGAAATACCTTGGCAAGGTACAACTGTATCCTTATTTTCGATCGGGCACTATCAATATTTTTATTTGTATTAATTGACCACTGAATGGTGACTTGTCATGTATACTTTGCTCGTCCTAATCTTAATCGAGTCTTAAAAATGATTTGCAATTTTACAGAAACCAGTCTATGTAACTCTGTTCCCCGCCCACTAGTCAGTAAAGCAGTCATACTCAAAGTAGAACTTGGCATATCCTAAAGTAGTAGAGCTGGTAACTGTATTAATGATAATGTAATAGAAGTTGATGTGATAGAAGTTGACAACAGCTAATCGAGTTTTCCGAAGCCATGCCGAAAGTTCATCAGACACCAATCCATTAGAGTTATTATCTAACTAATATATTTCATATTACTGGAGTTATAAATTGGCTTTCATTTCAACGAATTGTATTCAAAGATGTTTTGTGTAAAATCGTCTGTAGTGTGTGTTTGTACATAGTTTCTCTGGTTCAACAAGATTTTCAAATGAACCTCGAATTTCACACTCATAGATTGATATTCAATACTCCTTAATAAAATACACCAACTTGACGGTTATATAATCCATCATACATAAGAGTTTTCCAAGTATTGATGTTGTTCATATTTCATCACTGATTTAATGGACGGTCAGTTTCTTTATTGAATCGTAGGACATTAAATGAAAGCCAATAAAATAATGTTAAGTTGATTCTATGTAATTTTACCATATATTCAATGAATGCTTTTTTCTAACTTCTACGCATGCACTTTTGACCGTTTTGTATATATTCTTAGTAATCGTATGTATGTTGCACCTGAAAAACACGTCATTCATCGTACTACTTGTAAGTAGTTTAACACTGAATGCAAATACTGATCATTTAAATAATAGTTCAGCGTGATCATCCATTGTTACCAATACAGCATAATCTTGAGCCGTAAATATGGTCTTGATACTTATCCGAAATGCTGTTCTTTTTTTGTTTTTATAAGTTTTTAAAATCACTAATCAACTAAAATCCTGTATGCTTGTAAAAATCCTCCGCTTTTTTGGCTTTCTGAGATAATAGATGGATAACTACCAAGTTGAATTTGATTACGATCAACTTTTTTCTTAGATCATTTCAAATCAAATATAAGGCTAATAAATGTTATGTAATGTTTAGCCACGTGAAGTGTTACTTCATTCACTAAGTACGTTGTATTTCTTGGTAACAAAGAAAACAATTACATACTTTTTGTACTATTTAGAATTAATTACTATCACTATTGTTAAAAGTGAATCCAGGAATGATTCATTAGTTAAAACTTTTAAACACTAAGTCTCAGGTCTCAAACCCATTTCTATATAGTTCGTTGGTTTAACCAATCTAATAACACTATTAGTCATCATCACAATTAGAGTATAATTCGAAGCCTTATACACTAATCTGTACCTGGTAAATGAGTAGAATAAATAATTGAATATCTACAGTGATTATTGACACTCAAATCGGAATATTCATAAATTTACAATAACTAGAATGGGGAATCGATAAGATAAAACATTTTTCATAGATTTTTATTTATTTATTTATTTAAACATATATTCATTGGTTAAAGGAGGCACCAAATGCATTTGTTTTATATGATTCGACTTGTGTAAAGGTTGGAATACTTCCCAGGTGCCTAAACCGAAGCAGGTGGTTTTCCTACGTAGCCAATCCCATAGACTTTGATTTGAAGGTATGATCCACAAAGCAGTGGAGCAACGTAAGGAGATGAAGTGCCATGGTAGCCATTTGTTCCCACGGGATCCTGTAGCCCATATGCACCATTTGTTCGAAATCAGGGTTTTCAACCCCCCTAGATGGATCCTCCATATGCATCAACCCGCTTAATGCGCCTTACATTTGCTTTTCGTCCTCTCAATCTTGTAAACAACGACCTCGTTGCGAGAAGGCAATGAGTGTAAGACTTCCCTGACATTGGCTATATACTCGTCGCCAATTGAGAATATTTGGATAGGAAGAACTGATTCTCCCCACCCTCTACCGTACCAGGGCATTTAAATAGATATTAGAAATAAACGAAATCGAACTTCACAGAATCTTTTTCTCAAATACTAGATATCTATCATTCTTCAGTTATACCTTTCACTTAGTTGGACATTATCATGCTTACATACTTTATCATTAAAACTATTTTGGCAAAATAGAATTGTTAGACATGTCAGTAATAGCTAATTTTCCTTTTTTTCACTCATTGGAAAAATAAAATTTCTTAAAATAACAACCGATATCATTTACCCAATTCCCAAATTTTTTTGAAGAAAATTATTACGATGTAAGTTGGCTGGAGGTTGTCGCCTAAAAATTCTGTACCACCTAGGTTTGATGGTGCCAGTTGATATTTATCAGTAAGGTCTACTTCATTTCATAAAGATTGTAGCTAGTAAAGAATGTTTCATTTAATTACCGTATAGGTAATAAATAAGTGAGTTGTTTCATGCTATTTATAAGGCAGTCTGCTTTCTCTGTAAAGATGTGCACTATATATACATTTGTTTATAACCAAACCGAAACAGACACAATCATTTCTTTTACAAAAAAATTTTATTGGGGGAGAGAATGAATATGTGATGTAGTATCTTCTCAATTATTGCTCTTCATAAGATTGTTGTTTTCTCTGTTATTACCACCCAATAATAATTGCTTATTAGATGATACACTTTTAACCATTCAAGTAACAATTTTGTTATCATTGAACTAGTTTTTATCTATATTTATGATCGCATCATTCTATTTCTTTATTCAACTCTTTTACGTTTTCTATTTCGGAATGTCCATTTGTTTTGATTCTTAGATAAAACAATGGATAGTGTAAGGCTTTACAAAATCATCAAATTATATTTATATAACCAAGTAGGTTTTATTTTGTGAAAGAACAAAAAAAAAAGAAAACTGTTTATTTTCTTTCAACCGTTTAATGACTTTCCTTTTGTGAAACATTTAAAGTCTTTCGTTCTTTTTTTAATCACATTTCGAACAACTCACATTCATATTAGTGTATTAGTTTAACATTAAGTCTCATACATGCAGTGTATACAGTTGTGTTAGCCGAATATGCTTTAATAAGTTACTTCTTGAATATTAACAGCAATATAATTCAAACTTATAATGATACAAACAACTTTCATAGTTCAGTCAGTCTTGAGTGTTGTTATAGGTATAAGAGCGGTTTTCAATTCCCGGTCACCCACACCGTGAAAGGGTTCTTCTAGAAGTACCTGAAAAGGAAATTGGGTTGGAGGTAGTCTTAGTGACCGGAGAGCGTGACCACAGTGCTCAACGGCTTGAAACCGGTCATACACGACCTGTTTGTGAGTAATTTTCATGTCACCTCCGTACGTTTTGGGACTTTACCGCATGGAATGTATATCCATGGGATTAGGTGTGTATATTTTTGGGTCAACCTTTTCTAACCACACCCCTTCTTGTGGAAGGCAGCACCGCTGTTATGCTGGTTGTTCGAGGGAAACCCCTTCCTGCCGTCTCACGTCTGTACAGTCAGCAGTACGACTTCGCCCTCGGACCTTGGGTTTACTGCTTTTCAGGTTCACCGCTCTTCAACCGAACTGTCTGGCATGGTAGGACGTTGAGGAACGATTGTTCTAGCCAGTAAAGCTCGATTGGTTCATCAAGATAAGCAAGCACGACCACCACGTCAAGGTTGCAGCAACGGTCGGCACTTTAATGATTATGTGAACTCATTAGCTCAGTTGATAACACGTTGCCATTTGACGTCAATGCCAAAATAAACATCAACATTGGGTTGTGACAGTTACATCTGTCTGATTAGTCCCTAAATTCTAGTTCTCGTGACAACGCTCCATTCCAAAAATCTTGCAATGTACATTTGTTCAAAGTTTTAATAAACACATCAAAATGCCAAAAAAACTAGGGCTAAACAAGTTTCAATGTTTCCTTTTTGAAATTCTTCGTGGTTAAATTCTTCCACTTACATATACATGTTAACTTATTTCATCTCTCTCAACAATTGGCCGTATGCGAACAGTAGTGACATGTAACAGATTACAATATCGCAAATTCTTATTGTGTACATTGAATAAGTATATGTGTAATTGATCCTAAAGCGCGTTATATATTACCTTCTATTCAATAAACCTTGTCAATAAATAACGATATTTAGTCACTTGGTTAAATACCAAAGACAGTTATCTCCCATACATTCATTAAGATATTTTAGAATTAAGGTATAAGTTAAGACATCAGTCCTTGCTATTTAAAAACAGTGATCTGTTTATTTGCAAAATGGAGTACTACAAATGTGTTCTATTGTACTTCTTTATTGGTCGTACTGTTTTTTATTTCAACACTTCAGATGTCAGATGACTGGACGCAGTCACCGCAAAACCTTAGATCTAGGTTGCTACTCGTCTGCAAGCCATTTCTGCAATCTCTAAAAGCACTAATATTACCTATGGGAGTTCAGTCAATGTCATTCACCTCACAGTTTGGAACATTACCACTGTGTTATTCTTTGAACAGTCCCAGTTTGATTCCTACAGATAGTGTCAGTTCCTCTAACATTGCGGTTATACCTTACTGATGATTGTTAACTAGCGAACAACCTAGATACAGGGTTTAACTCCGGCTACCTGCAACCATTTACCAAAGAAAATTAAGTAAATATTATGACACCACTCTCTACTATTTAGTGATCAATCAAATTTGAATCGTTTTTTTTTTAAAATATTTTTTTATTCTCTATCTGTTCTTGTTTTGGCTTCTTCATTTATCTTTACGTTTTGTCGTTTACTACTACTTACTTTTCTCATCCATTATTAATATGTGATACAATATCATCTACAATCTATTTTCTGTCTTTCCATGTAATAGCGAGTACATCATATGAAGTAGAAGGTGTAGCGTTAAAAAGTTGCTTCTTTATGCTACAAAAAATACCGGATTCAAATCGATACCAATTATTCCGTGGAACAGAAATGGTTAGTTAATTTGTTTATTTTTTTCTTTTCGAGACACTAATCGTTTATTATACATTTATTACGATTTACTTAAGAGCGTAGTCGATTTATACATTATTAACGTGGAAATAGTTCTCAACATAAATTCGTATCAACCGCAAAGCTTACTAAGCAAAGATGGATAGTGGCTAGCAATGGAATCCAGGACGCGCGTTTCGTCCTGTTTGGGACTCGTCAGTTGGATGTACCTGCATCTCAGAGTTGATGTTCACTCTGGGACTCGAACTCAGTACCGTTCGCCATCGCGTCATCCACTTAGCTACTGAGTCCTGATAGCCACTTGCTTGTGCGATGGGGTGAAGTTTAATTCACTTGATATTGTTTTACTTGAATCTTCCCATTGATGTTTTAGGACTGAAAAAAAGAAAATGGAGGCAAAGCTTACTGTTATAACTGAAAATCAGCTGTTGTTTTCAAACATTGAAGTATCATGTTTTAGATTAATTAACTTTGTCATCTACTCGTAGCTTCTTGTACAATTATATTGAGATAATATTATAACCTATTAGTGATTCTTGTTCGTATGTCACTTATCTTTGAGTGGACGTCGATATCAAATAAATACAAGATATTTGGATTAATCTCCCATCATAAATGACTGTCTAAGCCGTTCACATTCTTCATTCACTCAGTTATCAACTGGTTCTTTGATTATCTTCAATCAATAATAACGTATATCAAACAAGAATGACTATTGCTCAAAAGAGTTTTAGTGATTTCACCAAACAGAAGTCTTGTTTCTTTGAAAGGATAAGATGTATTACGATACCGATTTTTCGTACAATGATCTAGTTTACAAAGCGACAGCGATCTTAATAATTTTTGAATCATCGATGTAAAGTATGTCACGAAACAGTATACGTGATCAAACATATGTAGGATTAAAGCAATAAGGATTTTTTATACTGAAGGTCGTTTAGATATCAGCACAAGAGGTTGGCTATAATTTAGCTTCCTTTTTTAAAGAATAAGGCATACACCATAAATCAAAAGGCGTGGTTTTTTATAGATGAGTGAATGCACATATATTTCGCGGCCCGACTTTAGTTGATGATGCTTTCTTCTCTCTCTCTCTCTCTCTCTCTGTCTGTCTTCTCGCTCAAGTAACCAGCTGCATTTTCGTAAAGAGGAAGCTTGTATATCAGCATCAGAATTGAACACTGCACAATATAACAGCATTAAAGATCACTTGTTCAAAACTGATGATTCACGTCACTCAATTTCGTGTATATAATGTTAGGTCTTGCTTCTTCAAGATCTAAGTGATTCTAGATTCAAAACTGTCTAATGTCAGATTTCCAAACTGCTTTCTTACCCATTATTCATCTACTATTATTATTTACTAAAAAGGAATACAGTAACAAGTTGTATTAGACAACTATTTTTCATTTCTGTTTTTTACTTGCGCATGCCTTAGATTGAATAAATAAACCATCAAACCGAATTACAGACAATTAATTCATTATCTTTAAGTTGATTACCAGATACACTTTGTATACAACCATTTTTTGTACAAATATGGTGCTGACTAGGTTTTTTGTGCCAAGCTTTAATTAGGAAATCTTATTGATATTAGATTCAGTGTTCAAATGAATCCTAGTTACTTATTGACCATACAGTTTGGAGTCAGTTTTCAATATTAAGATTAGAAGTCTTCAAAGCCTTGCTTTATACCCGATTGCTTTAGAAGTTGTAGATACATTAATTTTTGGTAAGAACTGTTCGGTGCTACATACGCTATCGATGACTCATAGGAGCTTTACGATTATAACTGCACTGAACTATCGAAAACTTCCTACATATTCTATAAAACAAAAAGGTAAGCTCTGTATCCAGAGCTTAAACATTCGATTACTTTTGTATTGAACTTCAAGTTAGTAAGATGGTGACAATCACTAGTGATTTTTCTCAGTGTTATCGTAGAATTCTGTGGTATGCGACTTACGATGCCTGTACGAATATCGGAGCCATATGGGAGATTGTAGATTATACATCGAAAAGTTAGTGAAACCTTAACATTCTCGGTTATTTCCAGGTGTTTCCCCGAAACTCTGTTACTACTGATGCAAAATAAGAATATTCTGATGATATTGACGTTAGTTGGTTTTTTTCTCTATTTCACTTACCACACCCTGTTACCAGAATCTTTGGTGGTCTTACAGGTCGATGCACCTACCATCCACTCTACTAACACTTGAATAATTCTATCGTATTGAGGAAGAATATCAGTCGAAATCGGTACTTGATTTACTAGCTGGTCAAATAAGTAAGCTTATAACTGTTATATATTTATTGGTGACTTGATTGATCCAGATAAAGACACGTACAGTTGGTGTTTATATGAATAATCCAATATATGGCAAATATTTTTCCAATTTATCATTCGGCATTAAATATCGTTCGATCTTTCTGTACTCATCTCAAGATTTTCGCATCTCATTAGCCTTTTTTTCTTGTTTACTTCTCAAGCCTCCTATTCTTTGGTGGGGCAAACATTATGGATATTTTAGAAAATCAGGGGAGAAAGCCAGTTTCGGATTTTACATTCTTTTACATTCCGCTACCGCCCTTACGTTATTCCGTTGTGCAACTGTAGATGAGTTAGCAAGATGGGAAACTATTTTCAATGATGGTTTTGCTCAATGGCGAGAGCACATGGATACTTTTGAAAGTTTATGTAAGTATAATATAACTAGTTCCTTTTGCCTTACTGTTCCGTTTGTGTAAGTATTATTGAAGATTTCTTGAAACTGCATCATAACAAAATTTACTGAAGTCATGACTCATGTCTTTGGCTAAATACTACAATCCTTTTGTACTATTTATTTCTAAAGCTCTTTTAATGTGTAGACGTTGGATTAGACAAGGTTAGTTTTATCTGTTTTGAAACTGTTCAGTGATTTCTTTATCCTACAATTCCTTTTGTGTATACAAGAAATCTAATCAGATTGTTGTTGGATTTACTTTTTTGTTTGTTCATTGCAAGAAAAAAAGTTATTCATCAAGCTGAAACAAAATCTCTGATACCTTTACTATCACTACAATGGGATTTCTCTTGATAATAAGTATAAGGCAAAGAAAATGCATCTGTAGCATTTCAACTAATTCTTAATTATTTGACTCATCGTCTCTAACCGTTGATCGCAGTTTTATCGTCTGCATCAGCCAGGTAATTTGTACTCACGTACATATTACAATCCAGGAGTCTATACTTCATGGAATGATATAACGTTTCGTTTCGCTTCCCCCATATTTCTCACAACCTATACCTGCACTAACCAGCACCAATTCAGTGGCTGAACACTTATCCCAACCACTTCAGTCAATTTAGATTGAGTACTTCATCAACCGATTACCCATCTTTATCGAGTACTTTGTGTTCAAACGCATGATTAGTCAGTCTGTGGTCCTAATATACACGAATAATGCTTTGAAGGCATATTTGATCACATAATATCAATCTACAAATATCGTTTATTTTTAAAGGTCATCTTTAACATCCCTGAAGTAGAATGGAGTGAAACGCCGAGCCGTATATTTGTATTTTGGTTGGGAAACGGTTCCCTTACCTTTAAGATAGTAAACGACCGTGTACATATCAAGTTTTTGAGAATATCATGTTTGTTTTATTTACCTATAGCTGAAGAGTTCTCTAAAGCTCGTGATGAAATTGCTGAAAAACAAAAACGAACAGAAGGTATTCTTGAATTACTATACCAATTAAATGATAAACGTCTTACATTCTGGAAAATTTGGGAATTCATTTCATCTGTATTAATTAATGAACGTCTAGCTGAAATGGAAATGCTAACGTCTAAAACAGAATCATTGTCTACATCAACACAAAATAATTTAAATCGTTCAAGTATTAAAGTAGACATAACATCACCTCCAATTACACCAAATATTAATAATAATAATAATGCTCAACAAATTACAATCATGGATACGCTCAAGTTACATACGTTTATTTCAAATCTTGATACATATAATGATTTAGATCAACTTTTTGATTTATTTCATGAATATTGTAAGTTTATTTTCATTAAGTGTTGTTTATTTTGATTCATGTTTCGTACACGGATGTGAAAATATTCTTCCTTAAATGAACATTTACCAAGATCAAGAAAAACTGAGTTACTGTTTATAACAGTTCGGAATTCTTTAGGTTTCATTGAAATCATGAATCGATCAATATTTTACTATCCAATGAAATTCAACCATCTCCACAACCCTATACTGACAAATATCATTTGTTCACTAGTGATAATCTTCAATAGGAAATTCCTGTATTCCTAGTAAGCAGCAAGGACCATTGAAGTTCAATCGTGTTGTTTGTGAGGCAGTTACGCACCAAAGACAATTTAAGATGACTGCTCAATATCATGGACTGGTTGAAGTTAGACATTAACGTTGTTGGATACCGTCTCAATGATCTAGATGTTAAGTGTTTACACGCGAAACCGTAGTTATTAGGTTCAACATTCGCATACGAGCTCGTGGATAACCACTACCCAGGAGTCCCATAGAAAACAACACGGTTATTCAGTACTTCCAGGTTTTCAATAGCGATCTAACACTGATCAGTTCATGATCCCAATGCTATTTAATTCCTAGTCTGCTTTGTTGTAAGAGTTCAACAAATAAACTTCTTATATACACTTATAATATTCTGAGTTTGTTCATCATTAGAGTAAGGTAGTGAATGCATACTATTGACATGTTTCTCACACTGGAATAAAAATTAACTGTTCTGTATGTTTCATAGTTTTCACCAGTTGTCTAGTTGATGCTAGTTTATAACCTAAAAATTGACCGTTTGCATAAACGATATTTTTGAATACCTTTTATACAAAGTTTAAACGAACTGTGTTTACTTAATTTAATCCACTTAAATCATATTTTGAAACTTTCTTCAGAAAATTTTTTTTGGATTTAATTAACCATAATGTAGTTATAATCTTTCATTTAGTTTTTTAGGGTTGAAAACATAGCATGTAGGTGAATTGTATTACATCTAGTAGTTTATGATATGCTTGAATGCTATTACAAGTTTACCTTACTTGGTAAACGGAACGAAGGTCAAAGATATAGTGATACGATAGGCTATTCTAATCCGTTGTCTATGGCCCTGCTAACTTGATCACGAAGTCTTGATGAGGTGTATAGAATTTATTCTATAAGCACCCTGAAAATACGAGGTCTTCTTGTTGTCACGAGCGGCATTGCCAGCCAACTGAAGAAATTCAACCACCAGGTACTCGAGGACAGTTGCTAAATAAACAGGAGCACCAGCTCCGACACGTTCTGCGTCGTTACTCTTGCGAAGGAGGCGATGGATACGACCAACTGGGAACTGCAGACTAGCACGGACTGATCGCGTTTTGGCCTTAGCACGAGACTTCACACCTTAACCACGTCCACTCATTGTCCGTAAGAGTCGATAATCGTTAACTCGTAATCGCTTCAAACATATCAGTTTCAGCCATTTCTACGTTTATTTAAGAGCTGCGTTCTGTATATCAGATCTCAATTTTCGCTAAGGATTCTATTTCAAGCATCTGGAGTTATCTCAAACTATTTAACATGACTATATCAGTTCAGCTAAGCTCAGTAAGTTGGATAGAAAGGACAAAAAAAGCAATGAAACGTATGAATTCTTTAATAACTACCACTCATACACTTAAATGACCTAAAGTACTCACTTATTGAACATTGAAAATTTTATGGATTCTCTTCGGCCTGTAAAATTAAAGCATAGCGTTACTTATATTGTCTGTCTTTGTAAATGGTTTTTTGTAACTTCACCCTAGAATTTGTTCTAAGAGTCTGTTTCGTTGAAGTTTATATAATTTTTCCTGCTACTTGTTTATTATCATTTTTTTTGTTTTGAAATCTTTCAGTTTATCGTTTGTCTTTCGCTCTCCTCAGTGGACCGTCTTCCAATTTATCCAGAAGTGCCTCAGATGTAGATGGTAGCAAACGGCCTCAAACAAATTTAGTTAAAAAACACGAAACATTTAGTGTACATGATAGTGTACCTGGTAGGTTTATGCTCTCGTTTATTTTGTTTTATTTATTCCTTGATTGATTTGATTCATGTAGCACATGCTGTTACATTTATTCATTCTTAAGATAACTCACTTTTGTCGAAAGAAACCAAAATGATGAAGGAAAGATTAAATAAAGTTAATGAAATACAAAGACCAAAGTTTTTCAAATTGTCATAATCACATAATATATTAGTAGTAAAACTAGGCATTGAAAAAAGTTATCAAATCCTCTCTTATAGAGTATGGCGGTTGTTACCGTTAATCCCTCAGTGATAAGTTTGAATTCAGTCGGAAAGATGTGATGGAATCTGTGGAATCCCTATAAAATACCTTTGATCTGTCACATGGTCATTACTGATAGAATTTGGATCAAATTAAGTTTTATAGATTTTATATGAACTGAGAAGGGATTAGCTCACTATGAGCTGTGTTTGAATAATATTATTCGCAATGAATTATTCCTTTTTCGTTTCATCTCTCCCTCGATTTGTTGTTTTCTTTGCCTCTCTATTTTGTTTATCCTTGTTGTCGTAGCTGTGTTTTTAGAATTTCACCAGTGGATCATTCATTACCAATTTCATTGTATCAATAAAATTTGTTCTATTTATTAAGACTATCATCTTCGTTTATCTAGTTTACTTATATTCAACGTGCCTGTGATTGGTTGGTTTATTGTCATAAAGTTCCTCCACGGTGTCGTTTCACTGCTAACCTTTTCCTATTATATTTACCAATATTTTTGGCATTGTTGGTAACTATCGTTTAACATAGTTCTTGATTTAAGTAATTATGGTAGGTAAATCAATTATAAGCAACATAGGACCTTACACATACGCACATATCATCACATTGCAGTGCCATATAAACACAAAAAGACGGAATTTTCAAGAGAAATTTGATAGTAGAGGTAGTAACAATATCAGTAGTAATTGCAAATCTTAAATATAGTCAATGTAGTTTGTAAAGAATGAATGTTTAAAAATCAAAGTATTTTCTTCTCATAGATTCTGAATCATTTCGCACAATTTTTCCGACCACTGGTTACGACAATCATGTTGACATAACTCTGTTCACTACGTCTTCAACAAATAGAGCTATGTTATCTACGTGAATCTAGTAGAGTGAGATCGATTCCATAATAATCAGAGGATAAAAATATTATTATTAAAATTCTTTTTTCTAAAAAGTGGAAAAACTGAACAGCCCTGAAGTAAGACTCTCTTCAATGAACGTTTATTGTAGAACGTTTATCGTAGAGGTAAATATACAGACAATAAACTGAATAAATTTCAAGACCTTGAACATTTTATTCTTCCATTCAATGTTCGTCTTTGTTAATATACATTTTTGATGATCGCTCTTTTGGTGATCGGCCAGTTTTGCTTGCATTTTTATAAATGAACGCTACAACAATTAATGTATATATTATTCAACTACATATATTCATTACTAAGGTTTTTACTTTGTAATTTCGAATTCACTAAGGATTTAATAGATGATGATGATGATCTATTTGTAGAATGTTAAATATCAGAAAATTGAATTTTTGACTTCGTGACTGTCAGGTTAAGTCACTTCTTTAAAGAATATTTAATTTATTCTGTATAGAAGTGACTTACCTCAAGTCACAAAGCACTAAAAAACTTAATTTATTCAGATTCTACAAATATCATTATATATATATATATATATATATATATATATATATATATATATATATATATATATATATATATATATATATATATTCACTAGTCGATTTGACCTAGATCACCATTGAGAACGTGGAGCACTGGACGGCCGTTTCGTCCTAGTATAGTGGTCTAGTTTAGATCTGCTCGTGGGTTCAACGGTGAAAATGCTATAATCTCCGCGAATTCCCATACTGATATATATATATATATATCATACTGTTTACTGACTCTTTTTTGATGTATGTTTTCCCTGTGATAATGATTATTTTAGATGAATTAGATAAACTTGTTGAAGAAAGTAAGCGAATTGTTGTACGCAATATATAGATTTATTTAGTATATATATTTATCACTAAATCTAACCGTTTTGTTTGTTATGTTGCTATACAATACTGAAGTTTATACTTAACATTCAATTGTTTAGACTAACTATCTGTGATCAACATTACAATTTAATGTATCTGCACTTTTAAATAGATAACACTAATAATCAATAATATAAGTACACATCATATTAACCACAATTTTATTATGTATGCTTTAAACTTCTATCCAGTAAAGTAGCTCTGTTACGGGTAAAGTTTGCCATAATTAATAAATGTATCGTTAACTCCACCGCACGTAATTGTAACATCATGTAAACATAACGATGGAGACAATCAGCGAGAATTCCTTAAAGGCAAAGAGTACGAAGTAATAATAGTATTAATGATTGTGGGAAAAACATGGATAAAATATGGTTACAATAGAAGAAATGAAGTAAAAGAGTGAAGTGTATCAAACAGTATTTAATTTCTATATCTATGGAAATATAAAGAATCAATGATTTCACACTGATTCTTAGGTTTTCTCACCAAAGACTTCCTAATATTTCTGTAAGGGTCCCAATCATATATTCTAAATCTATCAACACTTCTCAGACTTCTAGTCAATGGCTTCATGAACTGATTGGGCGTTTTGATTTTGTGGCGCTTACCTTTTTTCTAACCTACTACTACACCAGCCAGCATTGTGTCGCTAAGTAGACGATGATTGGATATATGTGACACATATCCTAGCTGTTTCGGTCAATTAAAATTCACAATCTTATCAACTAATTTTCCGCCTTTACTTAATAGCCACTGCTTAACCTGAGTATTATGCACTTGGTTCTTCCACCATTCATAAACAGTTTTTTTTCAATTTCAACGTAATAGATATGCCATGGAAATGGAGACACTACATAACTTAGGAATAGTAAGCTTTCCAAAAAAGAATAAGTTAGGTGTTGCATGAATCTCTATTGTTGGATCAAGATTTTTTCTAACAAATAGAGAAATATCACAGATTTAAATCATGAGTCAATTGAAGCTAGACGACCATGAAAAACCTGCAAGCACTGAACGGCCGTTTTGTCCTAGTATGGGACTCCTCAGTAGTGCGCATCCACCACCCCGCACCCCGCGAGATTCGAACCCAGAACCTATCAGTCTCGCACCAGGCGCTTAATCAACTAGACCACTGAGCCGGCCGGGATTCATTGGTGTTAATGTCTAACTTCAACCAATCCATGGAGTTACGCCACTATACACCATTGTCTTCAGTGAGCTGATATCTCACAACAGACCTGGTTGAACTCCACTGGTAACGGCTTCTCGCTAGAACTCCAGGAGTATCTCTTGAAGTCAGTCACTAGTAAGCAGATGATTATTATCAGAAGAGGTTTGTGGAGATTTTAGTAATTTCACAGATTGAAATCATGAGTCAATAGAAGCTAGACCACTACTGAGGAGCCCCATACTGGGACAAAACGGCTGTCCAGTGCTTGCAGGTTCTCAATGGTGGTCTAGCTTCAATTGACTCATGATTTCAATCTGTGAAATTTCTAAAATCTCCACAAACCCCTTCTGAAAATAGAGGAATAGTCCAACCTCTCTAATCTTCTATTTATATGATCCTAAAATAAATTCAAATCTTTCATTATAAAATTAATTCATTTGAGAGAAAACTCTCTTTTAAAACAAATTTGAATGAAGAAGGTACAATCCATTTAATTTCCCATATGTGAAATAAATTTAGAAATAGGATACCTTGCCAATTTAGTTATATAAAAAAATATTCCTGATATAATAAAGTTTATTAGTAAAAAGATCTGGTGATTATCAGTATCTTCCATAATCTCATACGGACTAGCTTTTTGTCCTATAAAAATCAAGCTATTGGAAATATGATCTAATAGAATAAAAGGCAAAAATAAGTAAGTATATTGGTAATCTCTTTATGTTATCAAATACCTGATATTCTTATTACAAAATAGACTAATGGAGAATTTTCTTTTTTCAAACCATTTACCTGTAAATACATATCCAAGTCACTGCGTATATATATATACATATATATATATATATATATATATATTCCTTGGCGTAACTTGTTTACCAAGTACAGGTTTGTCTACTTGACTTGAAGACACTGTGTCAGGTCTGGGGACGCTACTCATATTGAAGTGGGTGGACTGAGACTCGAAATTCATCTTCCAGCCGAAAGTCAAATACCTTGACCGCTCCTATACGAGTTTATATATATATATATATATATATATATATATATATATATATATGATTTAATAGATTCTAGTGCTCCCAGGTTTTCAATCGTGGTCTAACATCAACCGGTTCATGATGTCAAACAATAACTTAATAGATTCCATCATAAATATTCTACTTGTGACTGGAGAAAATATTCCAATTCTCTCTGGTTTTATATTCATTCTTCTTGACCTATGTTTATCGCCTAACACTGCGTCGGCGAGGCTATAATTTTTGGACGAACCAATCAGATTTCTGATAACAGATCTTCAAATTTTGGTGCAAAATTAATTCAGCCATTTAGTTAAATAGAGTTTTAGCAGTATAGCTGATGTCAGTTCTTGATGAAAACCCTTAAATCTAATTCGTAACCCTAATTATCAACTGTAAATATTAATTTTAATTCCTCACATTGGTTTATAACCCTGATTTGGTCGTCGTATGTGCGTGAACATTTCTAGGGTCTTTATAGCGTCACTCAAAGATCGTCCATAAATTATAGTCTCATCCACTGTGTCTTTTAATATCGAATATGTTTCGTCGTATAATTTCAGTAGTTAATATTATATATATCTTTAAATACAAGTTTTGTAATATTAGCTAGTTCATTACTCCTTGTGGATTTCTGTAGTTTTCCAAATTCTAAACAAAAACTATCATCTTTTATTCTCATAGGGTGTTGTTGTTTTTTTTTTTTATACATAAAATCACCCTTTTCCACACTGATAATTGGAAGAAAACTTTATTGGATGTACTAATCATAATCGAGTTCTCAATATAATACAGGTCAATTATGTAATAGAACTCTAACAAAGGAATGTGCTAAACACTTATTATTATCATCATCATCGTTATCAAGAAATTTGTATTTCTTATGGTGATTTATATGTAAAGTTATTCTTCGATTTTTTTCCTTTTATTATTAACCATTGTATAACAAAGAAAAAGATGACGTAGCAACACTACCTTATTTAGATGAAGAAATCACTTAAACCTGTTTTTCATCTGGTTTAATTTTAATTCTTCACAATAATCTGACAGATTATATTAAAGAGTATTGTGAGAAAGAAAAGATAAAATAGAAGAAAATTAGAAAGTATCAGGCTGTTTTTTTTAATCTTAAACATACTATTACATAAACAAATGGTCAATTAATTAACTAATTAATTACAAATGTTGATGTTAAAAGAGATTGATGCACTTTGGTTTTCACAAAACATCGACGTTACCCTATAGATTTTCATCCGACTATTCATTATTTTAAGCAAAGTATTTGATGTACATGTGTATGGGAGAATGTTTACAAAGACTTTTCTAACTTGTTTGAATGATGTTGTTGTACCGTCAAACAATAACTGTAAATTCATTAACACGCTTGGAGAATATTCTTCGCATCATCTATATATATATATATATATATATATATATATATATATATATATATATATATATATATATACGTAGCTTATTTCAGTTCACATTCTTAACCCCTATTGGTTTCAATTTAACCTTAGATTCAATTATTTTTTCTGTAAAAAACGATTGTTCTTTGTGTTTTTGTTGCTCTGGATTACATACTAATCATTTAATTAATTCACGTTTTAATAGCTATGTTTGTAGATAATAATAATTTAAATGTTTCTTGTTGCAGCTACCTTTTGCTTTTATCAAATTATTGTTATGCATATAGTTAATTTTATATGATAATATGATCAAGCGAATTAACGTGATAATATAAACGGATTTTTTGCGCTGACAACACACACACACACACGATTCCGTTAATGAAGTTGAAAGTTAGGAATGAGACCTACAGAATTGAATGAACTACTTTTTGAGTGTTTGTGGAGCAGTCCAAAAGTGAATCATTTTTATCTTCATCATTACAATAAGCCACAGAAACACATTATGTATCATGTTAACAAACTTTAAAATTGTTCGAAAGAATCCCCTTTGTCATCATACAGTGAAACGGATAATGTTAGATGTATCAAATACTAACTCTTTTATGTGCACATTTTATGTAACACGTAAATTAATCAGTTTTATTGTGGCATACTTCGGTCTTGATAAACATGCGAAGATAAACTGTATTATTAATGGTACATTGATTAAAAGGTGTGAACTAATGAAGTAAATTTGAGTCTGTTAGTTTTTCCATACACGTATTAATCATTTTTCTTTTAGTACTGTTTGCCGTTGGTTGTCTCCATGTTGATTGTCTGTTTTGGTCGACCTGTGATTGATTGACTGATCTCTTTTCCGTATGAGGTGATAACAAGTTGAATATTCCTCAATGCTCATAGAGTTTTGAATTTAGCTTAGACTTATTTTTCGTATAAAGTTCAAACTACCGATCCATTCATCTTTTTACAATCATCGTAATCCTTTTACATTTTAGTGGCTAATGAATTACGATCGTCAATTGATGTTGGTCGTATGAAATCAAAAAAGGTATGTTGTTATTTAAGTTGCATTAATCGGACGTTTTGTGATATGTTTGCTACACTTGTTTTACTGTTTTCACAACATAACATTTATCTGTTCCGTTAGGAATGGGTTGGTAGTGGTAGTGAACTCGAAACGCTGCTCGACTCAGTTGTCGTATTAATTATCACATATCACCATGGTATTTCCTATAATTCTAAGGGATTTTGTGGATTTGAACCTACACTGTCTAGCTTCTCAATTTGAAACATTTCCGTTGAGCTAGTTGGGTCTCAACTGTTGTCATATCGTGATTTTATGACTGTGACCCCTTAATTGTAAAATTAATCACCAATTTTGTTGTCATAATCAATATTCATTCAGTCATATTAATTTATTGGGTAAGCAGCCTAATAGCACTTATTTAGTACATGATGATTCTATTGTGTCGCTCTATGAACTTATTGAATACTCCATAGCTATATTATAATGTGTTTATGTGGTTGACACTGTCAGCAAATTGGAAAGTCTTTAATTGCGTAGATGGCTGAGCGTTCAACTTTGTGGTGTTTTGAATCGAACATTGACAAAATAGTCTTTTTTGACAATCCAGTCCTTACTCATGAATGGAAAATTCCACTTCTTCAACATTACCGTACGACACGGAGAGAATAGTACAATTGAACATCCTTTTTACCGAAAGGATGCCTTGAATGGTGTTTGTCTGAAGTTTAATAGCTTTTGTCTGATTAGTTACAAAAAGCACTTATCAAAACTGTTCTACAGAGCGGAAAAGATACGTTTTACTGATACACCAGAAACAGAATTAATAAACGTAAAAGAGTGGCTGAAGAACGATAGGTATCCAAAGAAATTTGTTGAAAATATAGGGAAAGTTAAGACAAAATACCTAAAGAAACCACAGCAGACAAAAAACATATTTTCATCCAACTCGAATTCAAAAGAGACTATGTTACAGTGACAATCAATAGAAGATTAAAAACCACACTGATCAGAACTTATCCAGTATAAAACAATATTTTCTTTACTCCAATCAAAGATAGATTGGTACCCCTTTCATGATACCACTAATTGCATATAGAAATTGACGTGTACCTGCCAAGACAGTTGTATTGGTAGAACAATAAGAAAGGTTTACTTTTAATTCTAAGAACATATCCCAAAAAGTTTGTGATCGATCGGGATAAAGGTTTTAACAGTGCTACTGTAAAACATCTATGCGACACATCAAGCATCAAATTGACAGACAAATTTTTCAGCATTGTCAATCGACAGTCAAATCCGATGAATCTATCAAGCAACTTAAACTGGACTTATTTATCCCAAAGAAAACAATTGTAACTAGTTATTATGAGTTTGTTACATCAGACCTGCAATTTTTATGAATAGTTTTTTAACTGACTGATCTCAACTCATGTTATTCTTAATGGTTATTAATTTTAGTTCATCTAATTCTATTGCGTAATCAATCAATTCATTTCTTTGATCTGGTGATCTAGAATCTTCTTTCACATAATAATTTACATGTCTTCACTCTCACTGCTCTATCATGATGATACATATACATTTTCACTGTAATACTTATGTAAACTTTACTATAACTTTTATTTTTAAATAGTATAGGTTGTAATTTTAATGGTTGAGATCATGAGCAAGACCACCATATAAAACGTGGAAGCACTGGATGGCCGTTTCGTCCTATTATGGGACTCCTCAGCAGTGCGCATCCTTCATCCCACCTCGCGAGTTTCGAACCCAGAACCTGTCAGTTACGCGCGCGAGCGCTTAACCGCTAGACCACTGAGTCGGCATCCAATGTTGTTAATGTTTAACTTCAACTAAGTAGCTTACGAATAAAATGAATTCGTGTTATTTTGTTCAATTCTTTGTTCTTATTTTATTCAAGATAATTTGATCTCATGTAGTCCATTTACACTTCATCGTAAACATGACAGCTTTTTTTAATAAGAACATATAACATGATATTAGTTCACTGGGGATAATGACCAACTCAGCAACAAACCTACTGTAATACATGTAAAGTTCACTGTTTTTACATAATTAATGTAATTTTCAAAATTGAATATAATTTTTTAGCCAGTTTATTTATATATAGGTCATAAACCATACTCATAACCCTAAACTTAATTCTCTTATTTTTTAATAATTTGATTGGCCGTTTTTCGTACAGTAATCTAAAGTCTTTTAAGTACCTAATGAAATTTCCCTCATTAAAACTAATTTTAACATATTCGATAGACAACATCGTGACTTGATATTTACTCTGTGACCTTGGAGTCCTTTTCTTGATTCTTATTTGTTCCTAACTTTTTATTCTATGATTTCTCTGTTCTAGAGAGATGTTCATCGACTTAGTGCTACTATGGCTAGTATATTCCGTACACCTAGTCGGGATAAACATTTTACTTTGAACAATCAATCATCTACAGATCATGGTACAAATGGCTGTGGTATCAATACAACTGGAACATATAAATCCATTAAACAACGCCAACCTTTATCTTCTTCCTCACGTACTCAACAACAATTATCAGGTCCTCCTCTACCTCCACGTCCACCACCTACAGTTATAGCTAATTTAAATCTCACTGGGGGGAGCGGAGCAGGAGTTGGTGTTAATGAACAACTTTCGCCAACCAGTCAATTATCACTCAATCCTGACAGTTTAACTGATGTATCGAATTCATTGATTGCTTCAGATCAACCATCTTCCGAGTCATTAATATTACTTGGGGCATTAAATCACATAGCTGGTGCCCTCTTTGTAAGTGTGGTTTTTTTGTACGTATTAACGATGTACAGATTTTTGTACTAATCAATGGATAGCAACTTTCTGTATAACATTTAAGTATACAAAACAAAGTATACTTTACAGGTGACCTTCAATGCCGCCTAAAATGACCTTGAATAGGTGAAGCCACTTTTTAACCAATTAGAATATATTACGTAAAACCTTGAGAAGAGTTTATGGTTCAGATTTAAAATTGAGGATTAAGATTTAGGCTTAGAAGTTTGAGTTACGAGTTAGTTGTAACGATTACGAATCAGATTAGAGAAATACCTTGCAACCATATGCCTCAGGACTGGCCTGCATTAACACCTGAACTAAGGGTAGGGAGTGAAGTAGTCGAACGCGTTGACAACTTCACTTATCTTGGAAGTCTGATCAGCCCTAATGGGTTGGTTTCTGACGAAATCTCAGCATGGATTCAGAAAGCTCGTTTGGCTTTTGCCAAATTACGTCACCTATGGCGAAGGCGAGATATCCGTCTATCAACTATGGGACGAGTATTCTGTTTTAATTTATGGCTACGAAACGTGGCCATTAAGAGTAGAAGATACTCGTTAGTTACTAATGTTTGATCACAGATGTCTTAGAAATATTGCTCGCATCCGCTGAGATCATCGGGTAAGTAATAGTGAGGTTGGACACAGGGTATTAGGGAATGATGGTAAATCAGTTGATGAGATTGTGAATCTTCATCGACTGAGATGGTTGGGCCACGTACTACGTATGCCTGAACACCGATTACCACGACGAGCAATGCTGACTGGTGTTGGAGATGATTGGAAGAAAGTTAGGGGCGGTCAAATCAAAACGTGGCATCAGTGATTGTAGTCACTAGCTCCTAATCTGAGCCATGTTGGTAGATGCAGACTACTTGGTTGGAGTCCACGTGATTATCGTAACCAATGGTTGGAGACTCTGAAGTGACATTGCTCAGAATCGATCACAATGGCGTCGGTGTATACACTCTTTGTCTTAACTTAAACCGTTAGATTAAATTGCTTTAATCTTTCTTTCTGTGAACTAATTCTTTCTTCCTGTACCATATCCTTATACACAATCTTTTTTTATATATTACCACTATTGAATTAACCACTTTTATGTAAACGTTGTTCATCTTATTGTGCTAATGAGGTGTGACAACATGGATTGATGCATATAAGCACTTGGTCTTACGTTGTAGCTGACTGACTGAGCATACGAAGAAATTATTAGTTAAATTCTTAACTTTAAATATCAAAAACCTTCAAGTTACCTTCAAAAATCGGTATATCAGGTTATGTTACCTATGGAAAGTTAATCACTTTGTCATTATTGTAAGAACCGATTAGGTTTATCCATTATTCTTAAGTCTTTCCATGTTTATCAATTTTAAACATCTTAATAATTAACAATAATGGTAGGTTTTGCTTATATCTTACTAAGGTTTTAATAAGATCCAAATTATCCATCATCACATTTTGAATTTCGAGCGAAATTCCAGTAGGCTTTATCTTCAATCTGATTATTTCGTTAGTGTATTAGGATATTTCTTTTATTCAATGCATAAATAGCACTCATGGTTTTGTTTTCTCAATATGCAATTTCTTGGTATATATTGCTGAATAAAATACTGTTGTTATTTTTTTTCCGAAACCTCACCATGTGTCTAATCGCATTCCGGTTTATGATTAGTCATAAAATCAACGATATGTTCACTAGACCATACCTGTTGGTTTGATATGGTGGTTCGAGCTTGCATATTAGAATGGCCCAATTAATATTTTTTGTCCTGAACACTTGTTCGTTTCAGTGGTACGACACCAGGGAAGTCAGTCAGAGAACGATATCACCAAAAGCAGCAACTTAATGTAAGAGAACAAAGTTGCACCATTATCTTTACAGTGGAGAGACATTAGCGTATCCGTCAGACAACCATCATCTACAACAGTTCTCCGTTCTCATAACGAATGGATGGAGTTTAAAACGGTCTACCATAAAAATGTCACACCTTATCTTATTCCATTGTATTCGTTTGCTAGTTCAAGAGCATTTTTAAGTACATAGCTACTACATCGAAAACTTCGCACAGTAAGACCGTTTTTGATCGGTCTAAGACAGTTGTCTCTTCGACTATAGAATATCATTAATCCGGTTTATTTATCAGATTCGCCAAGAATAAACATCGTTTCATGGCGTGTGTAACCGAAAAGTGAAAACTACCTTCTTCTAAAACCACACGAGATTACCTCGTTCTTAATTAAACCATACATGTAATCCACCAGTTTATTTCCGAACTTAGGACATAATCATCTCAATGTTGTGGTCTTGTCAATAGCTAATAATATCTTTCGACAAATTTAAAGTACAACTCTTATTCCCCTGCCTGCTTAGTTCAAACACACCTATTTTTGTTAACTAGTCTACAGTATCTAAATAACACTAACTCACTTAAACATTCAATTTTCTTAAAACAACAACTAAAACAAATATTAGGATCTCAAACAATTTAATGATTAATAAGTAAATTCTGATAATATTATCTAAAACGACAATGAAAGCTTTGCAATAAAATCATCTAGATCAGAGAAATCAACAACACTGAAAGCTCCCGTGAGAATAACAAATCTCCACTATACTCACATGCATAGTGCTTCTGATACACACCTACCCTTCTACTATATATATATTCCCAGCTGTTATCTTATCAACCATTTTGTAAATTCTTATTTATTTTTCAACTCAAATTATCATCACATACAAAAGTTCATTAATGTTAATGATAATATTAATTCTCTGTACAAATTCCAAAATTATATTTTCAATGTAGAAGTATTTCTATCACAAACCTTGATTAGAATGACCATTTAATTGAAATCAGATCATATTGATCGACAAATTCAGTTCTGCCATAGATTTAAAATCACGAAGTGATTTTAGTTATACCACTATTAAAAACTTGGAACCACTGGATAATCGTCTCTTCTTCACGTTCGTGGACGATACCGAAAGTTCTAGGTTTGACTCTCGGATTCAGACTGTTATTTGGTCACCGCTGAGATATCTTATGCTAGGACGGAATGGCTGGCCAGTGATTCTTAGGTTTTCAATGATGGTCTAGCCAAGACTGGTTCTATTTATGATGTAAGACGATTAAGAGAAACTTGTTGAAAAACACTATGCCAAGAATTTTGTATTATACTAATACATATATTATTGAATAAAGCTATTAATAATTAAAAAATAAAAGTAAAAACTCAAAGGTTGTAGTCATATCCAATATTTTCCATGTCTATCAGGTATTCTGAGTTTAACACTTCCGGTTATTTTTCCGTTCTGTTTTTGGCTATATACTACATTGTTTAGTATGCTTTTCATTGGAGATTTCATTCCAAGTCATAGTTTTTATTATATTTGTTTTTCGTCTGGATTGCTTGGCTGCGCTACAAAGACATATTCATAGCAGACAGTTGTAAATATTTTTAGACGCTTAAAATAAAATCTCTAATGAAATTCACACTTCCAGTATTTAGCACTTATCTACCAACTGATCGGAAAATAGTTAAAATTGCTGAGTATAGCATTGGAAACGTTGCTGATAATTTCAGCCATGATTATATTCGAAGCCAGAGATCTCACGGTAACTTAGATGACTCTGTACTGATTGACCTATGAGACTCGGTTGCTAACCAATCAGACACAATATACTGTTATTAAAGCGATAACATAATATACCAATCAGCTTACCTATTACCAATCTTTGTGCTTGAATTTCCTTCTAAAGACTCAGTTATCATTTCAATTTTATAATCATTACTCTTATATATTTCATTTCTATTTGATGCAGAGCTCTGGCTTTTTGATCCGAATAGCGATTGCTTTAGCCGTCTGCAAGATTTTCAATCTAATGGAATTAGATAGACTGTTGTTAACATTATACATTATTGCAAAAGATTACTCCATGTTGTCTGTATGTCCCATCTGAACTAAATGGGTTAAAATGGAGCTGTTAACCGTTTTAACTACACCTTTGCTTAACCACACTAAGTGGTGTTCACGAGCCAGAATGTGCAAATTCCTAAAATATCTGCTTCTGTGGAGCAAGTTATATTGGCAAAACCCAGTGCTTCCAGGTTTTCCATGGTGATCTAGCTTCAATTAACTCATGATCTCAACTGTTGAACTTATCAAAATCTCCACAAAATCCCTTCTGATATAATATATGATTACAAAATTACATCATCTTTATTCCGTTTTAATGTTGTTTTCATTGTTTGTTTGTTTATTTTACTTCAAGCCTCAAATACAATTATTACGTACAGAAAATGTTGAATTACGTTCTACTATTAATAAATTAGAAATTGAACAATCTAATTGGAAACATTTTCGTAATCGTGATAATCAATTAATTATGCGTACTTCTTCATTAAATACTGGTAATAGTAATATCACTCATACAGATCATTTGAATAATTATTTCATGGATAATACAACAGTAAAACAAGAAACAGAAAAATTACGTCAAGATTATGAAAATTTTACTAAAAAATCACATGATTGGGAAAAAGAATATCAAAAACAACGTTCTACTATTGAAAGAGAACATAATAAAATTGCTAAAGAACGTGAATTATTAGAAAATGAACGTACTGAATTAGAATATCGTCAACGTCAATATGAAGAATTACGTAGTACATTACAAGCACAATTAAATATATATAAAAAAATGGGTTTAAAATTAACACCTATCAATAGTACAGGTATGTTGTTTTTTTTAATGTTCATTTTCTGTCATTGTTATTTACTTCATGATTATGAATTATTTCTGCTTGCATCACATAGTGACTAAAGTTAAACAATCAAGGAGCATTACATAATTTTGTCGTTTTATTACCTAAATAGTTGCTTAGTGTAGCTGATGTACAATACTTCGGATCTGTTGGCCAGATACTATCAGTAACAATCTACTGTGGGATATTCCAATTCTTCTTCTAAAGTTGTTTACTCTCTCTATGGAAACTGGTTCTTATCCTTACTGTTGGAAAACTGCGTACATCATAGCACGTTATCAATCTGGAGATAAGACTGAAATGAAAAATTATCGACCGATAAATATTACTCCAGTTATCTCTAAGATTTTATAAGAAATTATAAATGGTGAACTTTCCAACTATTTACTCGCTGGAAAATTTATCAATGATACTCAACATGGATTTCTTAAAAATCGATCTTGCATGACATGTCACGCCTGTAAACTGGCGTGAATTCTGTAATTATTATTTTCAGAATATAAATTATTATTATTATTATTATCCCAGCGGAGGAGGAAATGAGGAAGAAGCGCTGAAAGTGGATAGGACATACATTGAGGAAAGCACCCAACGGCGTCACAAGGCAAGCGCTCACATGGAATCCTCAAGGCCAAAGGAAAAGAGGAAGACCAAAGAATACATTAGGCTGAGAAATGGAAATAAACATGAAAAAAATGAACAAAAATTGGATGGAACTAGAAAAGAAGGCCCAGAACAGAGTGGGTTGGAAATGCTTGTCGGCGGCCTATGCTCCATTGGGAGTAACAGGCAAATCGAATTGAATTGAACTTTATTATTATTGACTCTCATTACTTCTATAGTCGTTAATGAACCGTTATAGTAAGTGCATCTTAACGTCGTTGTCAGGTTGGTGCTTCATACGTGTTTGAGATCACGTCCATTTAACCACAATCATACTGAGCATCATTTAAAATTCATTAGCTGGATTTGAACTGAATTGAAATTGAGTTCTTGAAGTTCACTTCTCATCATTCTTCACTTGGTTTTTCAATGATTAGGACGACCAATTTCCAGCCTCTAAACTCCAGCTTCAAATCTTGATTCACTTTGAACGAGAACTCAAGTGATGACAATCAATTTGTTGTTTAATACAAAATTACAAATATCTTCATAAAATATGAGAACCATAAATTAAATACTTCATTTTCAAATCTATCATTTGTCCTTCACATTTTGTATGACTCTTCCAATTCACAGTTCGTTTCTATTTCCATTTCTTTTATAGAACTTCAAGAACTTCAAGCAAGTTGTAATACAAATGATTTTAATTCACAATTAAACCAAAGTAATTCCTCTATAATAACCAATTCATTTGATGATTATTTAAATGAATTATCTGGAAATAGTAATACTGAAACTAATCGAGTCAATTCTGGTGGTATCAATGATTTTACAAAACCAATACATTTTTATTCAAATAGTGATGATTTAACAGGATCTCGACGTGCTATTACTAGTCATTCTAATGATGTAAAACAAAGCTATCTATATTCTACAGATATTGATCATAATCCAAAACCATCACTTGTACCGTCGAGTTCAACACGAAGTGATAATGTACCGGTACATTTACGTGGAAGTTTAGTCAATCAAGTATGTGTTTATCTATTGAATCAATCTTGGGACTATAAAATTCTTTTATTTTGATAGTCTGAACTGATTCTTGTTTTCCAAGGTTTAAAAAAGGTGATTCATGGGATTTAAGCACTGACACACCAGATTCGTTCATAGAACCACGTGACCTATCATGCATGTAACAAGACTACGAATAATTGCCTAATCTATGATTAACAAACCGAATAAATAGTACACAAGTCATTGATAGGCAATGCATCTATCTTTCGGTTGTAGAGAAGAACATATATAGACTGAGACTTGGACAAAGTGTATAATCGGCTTCGTCCAACAGTGTTCCTTGTTTATCATATGAGCATTGGTAACATGTGACGATATATCTGGTTTTTGGTCAGCCTATCAATAATAAAAATGTTTCAATTGAAATCAGGATTTAAAAAATTACTGAGCTTTTAGGATCATTTACTCACTCCCTGACTGATTAATATCTCTCCCATTCCAGCAGAGTTATATCTGATAGTAGTGAATATATTTTTATTATTTACATTTATCTGTACACATTTTAAATGGTTTACTGAAGTTACTGCTTTAAGTTTAAAATTGTCCCACTGCTGAGTAATTTCAGTGCTCGAAGTCGGACTACTTGCAGTAGATAAGAACGTTTTGCTGGTTCATCTTAATCACCAATATCTGATATAAAACGAAGGAATAATAAAAGACAAACGTTCATTTACATTGTATCATGTTGATGAAACTCACCAATATTAAACGGCCTCCTGAAGCAAACACCTTGAACTACATTTAATACACTCAAATTAAAGACGTTATATCATACAAAACCAAACCACATAGTTACAAACTGAGAGAGATAATATAACTTACGAAATAAAATGCCTATGGCATTGTCTTTCAACATTTACGTTGTTTGTATGGAGTTATGCTTGGAATCAACTTCGTTTAGATACTGAATTACTCAATCACAATTAAAAATAAAGCTTTTCTCATACACTTAATAAGGACGCTAATAGCTTGAATTCACTAATGATCTGTTTGTTTATGCGAAATCACACTATTGATTTTCGCCTTATCTGTTGTGCCCACTAATGTAGTGACACTGATTTACCCACATAAATTTCTTCTACTCTTAACCTGTCCAGCTAGAGCAGAAGAAAAGCCACCTAATCTATTTTGCATACTTTATGACTTAAACATTCACAAGATCATACACATCAATTGCATGACTGGTATGCACTGCATGTAGAAAATTCTAATACTTAACAAATACGTAATAAACTTTTCTGCGTGACAATCAAACGTAAAACAGCTCTGAAGTCCCGACTCTTTAACTTGTTATTTACTGGTATCTAACAGTTAGTTTTGAATCTTGTTTCTTTATATTTCCTTCCTATAGAATAATATGCGTGGACAGGTTTGTTTTTGCCTTTAGTGTTTTCTCTCTCACCCTGTGATATAAGTTTTTAATAACCAAGATTTTCCTAAGTTATTAGTTTTCTGGTGTGTGTGTGTGTGTGACCTCCTTCCCAAAAGCTCTAAATTGTTATATTTTTTAACCTCTGGTTTATTAGTTTCACAAGTGAACAATTGCTAACTTTACTATTCGTCATCCCGTAGTTAAAGGTGTGTGATCAGAGGCCACTTACGGCTCTTTAAAGAAGTACCAAGATCGCTATTCTGTAAATTATATTTCAGAGAAAATAGACTTTACATCATTTAACAAATTATTAAATCTGGATTTAACAACTCAGTGGATAGTGCCATGATCTCTAAAACTGATGTTTTTGGGTTCAAGTTCCGATATAAACATAAGCAGGTATGTCCAATTGACGAATCCCGTATTGGACGAAATGTGCGCCCTAAATTCAACCCCTATCTGCTTTCCATCTGTTACATAGAGGAAATATAGTTGTTTCATTTTGCATTTATTTACACACATAACTCCATCAGTATTTACAGGTGTTCAAAACTTTGGTTTTAGTAACCCAAGCTTTTTATTTCTCCAGTATTACATTCCTTGTTTTTGAACTTTATGTTTTTTTTAGTTCCTCGCACTACCTATATATTACTTTGCTATTAATCTTGTTAATAGTTTTCCACTTACTGTTCCTTGGAGCAACTTGATTCCCCCATGCCCGTTTGTTCCATGTCATACATTGCTTATGAACTGGTGATAGTATGATGTGGTACGATTCCTGTTTTCATACTTATCAATTCATTTCATATGATAAATAGATAACCCATAGTTATTATGTGAACGTTGTTACGCTCCGCGATCATCCAATTCAGATAGACACGCTTTCTCTACATTTACCCAACTAGCTATGACAGCGACTAAACTGAAATGACTAGAAAGCTTTGATTAATAGGCACAAAAGTTATTAGCGTATATATACTTTTTTTCTCATTCAAACATCAACATGTAAGATGATCATGTGCATAATCGAATCCATTTAATGGCGTATCTTGTTTATAATTTCTCATTCATTGTCTAAACTTGAGTAAGCATAGCAGCACAGGTACATAACATGCCTGGAGTTGACTGGCTTATCGGATGTATCTTCTTCATAAATAAGATTGTTTCACCTAATTAAGAATTGTGTTGAGCTAATCAACTAATGATAATAGTTCTTTTGCTTTTTTGTCGGTTCAATTTAATTTTCAACACTGAGATTGTGTTAATTTTATGAGCAATTATTTTTCTCACAATTCCAGCTTATTATTCAGTCAGTCAGCTAAAACGTAGGATCAGGCACATATGTGCATCGGTCCAAGTTGCCAAACCTCATTAGCACAACAAGATGAAAACCGATTTCATAGAAGTAGTTAATTCAGTGGTGGTAATATCTAAAAGAAAGATTGCTTAGTGACCTGAGAGCGTGACCTCAGTGCCCAAGGGACAACTGTTTGAGGTCAGTCACACACGACCTTTTTGTGGGTAATTTTCGTGTCAGCTCCGTACTTGTTGAGACCTTACCACCGGAGACGGATATCTGTGAAATAAGGCGAGGTGTGCATTTTTAGGGTGCGCCTTTTCTAACCCCACCCCTCCTTGTGAAAAGGCAGCATCGCTGTTATGCTGGTTGTCTGAAGGAAACACCTTACTGCTGTCACACCTTTGTACAGTCAGCAGTACGACTTCGCCCTCGGACCTTTGGTTTGCTGCTTTTGGTCTTACCACTTTCCAACCAACCTGCCCGGCATGGTAGGACCTTGAGGAACAATTGTTTCAGCCATTATAGCTCGATTGGTTCATCACGATAAACAATCACGACCACCACGTCGAAGTAGCAGCAACGGTCGGGCAGATTATTATTATTATTATTATTATTATTATTAATAAATCAGCATTTAAGTGATAACTAACTGTTAATCTACTTTCCGTTATTCTTATAACAATAAAGCGTCTCCAATCATCTCTTAGAATTAATTGACTTATCTGGTGTTATATCACTGAATCCTTGGGTTCAATTATAGTTTCGAAGATGATTTTCATATTATGTGTTTCGAACTCAAAGAAACTACGCTTGCATTTCAGACAATCAGATCAGTTTATTAGTCCTTACATTGTCTAATATTTTTCTATGAATAAGGTTTATATTCACTTGGTGTTGTTTTACTCGTATCTTCTCATTGTTATTTAGGATTGCAATTGATCAGTCTCATGTTGGCATATGTGCATCCTGTACAGATTGGCCTCGATAAAGCCTTAAGTCATAAGCTTTTTAAGCAAAGATGGATAGTGGCTAACAGTGGAATCCAGAACACGCGTTTCTTCCTATTTGGAACTCGTCATCTGGATGTACCTGCATCTCAGAGTTGATGTTCACTCCGGGACTCGAACATCAATTCTTGGGTTCAGGCACATTCAACTGACGAGTTCCAAGTAGGAAGAAACGAGCGTTCAGGATTCCACTGTTAGCCACTATTCATCTTTGCTTGAATAAGGTTTATGTTTTTTTTAAAAGCAATAATGTATTACTTAGTATTAATTACCCATTCCATTCTCAATTTTTTTTCCTTATTAGCCTAGTAGTCCACGTTCATCAGATATTCTATCGGACAATAATAATCGTAGCAATTCATCAAATGAAACATCAATATCTAATATTAATACTTTAACTCATGGTATTGGAAAATCTATTCCTAGTTCTTCATCTTCTTCATTGTTTACTGATTCAAATCCTCTAATGAAATTAGTTGATCATACAAAAGTACGAACATCAGGTTCACTGACTAAATCAAAAAAATCTTATCGTTCTAGATCACGTCAAAAAGATACTTAATTGAATTTCTTCCACTTTTATTATTCATTGAATAATTATGCCACATTGATTCATCTACATTGTGTTTGACTCAATTTTCTCTTTTATTTTGTAGAATTATTATACATTTATATCTGTGTATTATAATGCGTTTGTTTCTTATTCCATGAAATATTTTACTCTTTATTATATTTCTGAAATATTTCCTCATGAATTGATTATGTAATGATTGTTTAATTGTCAGATTTACTGATATCACCCGATTAACTTACCCAATGGTCTGTATACTTACATTATATATATATATATATTGCCCTATGTATATTTTTCAAGGACGATAATAATAATAATGTGCCTTAGGAGGTTTTGTTCATGGAAATGTAATCCAGCATCCTAATGATGCATATGTACATGTACAATATTTTCTTCTATCTATCTATGAAAGTACTTCAATATTCTCATATTCCTGTATACAACTATACAAATGTATTTCTTCCAGATGTAATCATCATCATCATGTGCAAAAAGAGTAAATAAGAACACAATTTGTTTATAATTTGTCTTTCAGATTTTATTTTGTTCAATGTTTTACTCATTAATTTATTGTTTATATCAAAAAAAGGGAATGACATGTTGTTGTTGTTTCTTTTAATGTTTCTTCTATTCTATGGAATGTTTTGTTTCATTCACATTGAAGGCTCTGTCTGCCTTCATTACATACTTTTCTCGTTGTTGATTATATATATATATATATATATATATATATATATATATATATATATATATATAATTAGAATTACGATCTTCCATATATTCGAATATATGACTACTGCAATGATGAACTATGGTGATTTTACGTTATATATATAATAACCTTTGTTATTAATAGTTCTCATTATTAACTTTGAATAACTAGATGTATATCAGTAAATTATTTATTATAATGTGTTATTGTTTTTCTTTCCAACGACCGTTTCTGTTAACAATCTTATTAGAAGAGATACAATGACATTGTTCATGTGAAATACTCTCTTTAAACATGTTGGTGTATAGTCAAGAAATGTCGGTGTTCTTTGTTTTTGTAGTAGTGTAGTGAACGGGAACAAAAGTTGGGACAGTTGAATGTAATTAAACACAAAATTACAGAATATCTTAGTAAAATCTGAGAATCATACAGTAAATTCCTCATTTGTCAATCAATTGTCTTAGACTTCACTGTTCTTTCGTTTCCATACCAATCCTTGTTTGTTCTTGTTCTCTTATTTTGATTTTCTTAATCTTGTGCCTCCAGGTATTTCAATTGATGATTGATACTACTTATATGAATCAATATCAGTAGCACACGCCACAGTAGTACTGTTCCAATATCACTGAAACATTTCCCATTCTTTATAAACTTATAACGTTCGGTTTTACTTTGTCTACACATATGGGACGTTAATTTACCTTAGACGAATATCTACACTAGATTCCTTCTCAGTGTCTATTCTACAGGATTTCAACACAACTCAGATCAAGAACATGTGATTAACCGGACTAGAACGTAAATATATTTCTACATCAAAACCCGACACAATCCAACAACAATGAACAATCAGTAATATTTATTATAAGAATAGGGGAATATATAACTCATCTGACACCTGACTGACTAAGCAAACAATCAATCATTATCGTTCTCGCCCACACATCATAAATTTTAGCCATATCAGTTATTGTTTTGCAATATTTATTGAACCTCTACATGTAGTCGATGCTAACTAATAGACTTGAATTTATGCTACTTGTTACAGCTTCTAACGTTTGTGTATCTTCATCAAATTACGACTTACTGGCTAATGATATACTTTTAATTTCGGTAGTGATGCATAGAATATTAGTACAATTATTCTCGTAACCCAACTTAATCAGGTCTATCCTGATGTATGTTTATTCGATAGATAATTTGTTTAATTAAGCATGTTCTTGGAATTAAACTAAACTTTAGAACGGTAACGATATTAGGATAGCCCACGTTTTTGATGAACAACTGAGGAAACAGATATTCTCGAATTGATAATTTTGCTTTTGGAACTGACCCTCACATAATAGCTTCCACAAAATGAAACAGGTCACTGTGCCGGAGTTGAGAAGCAAGCTTAATAACTCTAATTTAATGTGACTCAGGACAGAGTTCGATGGAGAATTCTGGTGAGCAGCCTATGCTCCTGCACTAGGAGTAACAAGCGTAAGGAAGTGGGTCCGATGGGTTTAACCTTATCCGAGAACTGCCAAGTCGTATTTCCTTGCTTCCACAGTTATTTCACTGATCCGTGTGGTATTCCTATTGTTCGGACACTCCATGTTCCTAACCCCCAAATGCCCTGGTACGTCTGAGAGTGGGGAGAGTCCGCTCTCTCTCTCTCGAAATGCTCTCACATGGCCACGTGCATACAGCCACTGACAGAGAAGCCCTACTCACTGCCTTCTCGTGGCATTATTGTTGTTTACGAAATTGGGAGGACGAAAAGCGAATGTCCGGCGCTTTAACCGGGTTGGAGGACATGGAAAGTCCACCTAGGGAAGTTGGAAAACCCTGATTCCAAACCAATGTTTTATATGGGCTCCAATATCCTGAGGGAACAAATGGCGTATGAACTAGTCGTTGGTCACCCGCTACCACGAGACTCCATCTCCTAAAGTTGCTCTACTGCCTTGTGGACCAGACCTTTTAGTTGAAGGCTCCGTGTGTGGCTCCCTAAGAAAACCATCTCCTTCGGTCTGGGCACCCGGGCAGTATCACAGCCCACACACAAATCAAGTTACGTGTGTGGCGCATATGTAGTCGGTGCCCCTTTGTACCAATATTTATGTGTTCAAATAAATTGTTGCTCTGTTTGTCATAAGGAGCATCCACTTCATGACTTCTGAAGAATATGGGTTTTCAACTTGAGGCATAATAACTTTTCTAAATGAAGATCCTTCAACTCCCAGATCAGAGTTTAAATGATCTTTATGGTTAGCGTATTTTTATCAATATTGTTCTCTACAGGATAGGGTTGCTGATGTCATGCCCAACCCTTCTCGTTTATCCGGGCTTGTGACTAGCAATTATCATATAAGGACTATAGATGGAGTTAACAGTTAATGAGTGGAGTAAAAACTTACATTAAAAGCAGTAAACATTACTATGAACCAATCATCTAACTATTATATATATATATATATATATATCCGAAGTGAGATGAAATTTATTGTTTTCTCTACTTCAACAGTCAGTATGGACTGTTCAATAATCAATACGTAATTTTCAAAATATAGTATTTATTGAATAATCATCTTACTTCACTACAGTTCAAGAAAGAAAGTTGTGTAGGCCTGACATCTATCAGTTCATTATAAGTTCTTGATTGGGATCCTAGAGAAATGTTACAATTCGTGAACTTGGCCTATTATCAGATATTGACTCACAATAGAAATCAATAGTGATTATGGTATGAATAGTTTCTCTTTACATTCTTTTAAAATTGTGAGGTACTTCCTCAAGTAACAAATGTCTGTTTTGCTTGTATTTTTAACTGAACTATATTCTATTCTCATAAGTTATTCTCGTTCAGTTGTCTCTGATGATACTAACCTTCCTTTCATTATCTCATTTTCTTATTCTGGTGGTGCTTATTTATTTTGGTGCTCATCTGTACCAATTTCTTCTGTATTTCTAATCAATAAATACACTATTTAATGTTTGTAAAATAGAACTGAAAGATTGATCTGTGCACTCACATCAAAAAAAGGAGGAAGCAAAGTAATAAATCCCTTTCAATTTGTTCGTCGTCAAGGCTTTATGCTAATTAACATATACGTTTGTTGTTTTTTAAAATTAAGTACCAAATCAATACCGAATAAATGGTAGTTAATTAATTTAACAATGTCTCTTACAATATTTATTCTAGAATTAGTAATCAGTAAATTCATCAAGTGGATACAAAGAAAATTAAGTTATTCAGACAGATTACGTAAGAATTAAGTTAGAAATTGGGTCGATTAAAAAAAAACATTAATCAGAATATGCTCAGTAGTGACGGTCTACAAGAGGTATTTCTTGGAGCTCTTATGAGAAGCAGTGGAGTTCAACTAGGTCTTTTGTGAAATAGTAACTCACTGAAGACAATAATGGATGCATCGCTCAATCTCGTGAATTAGTTGAAGTTAGACATTACCACCGTTGGATGCTGGCCGGTTCAGTGGTCCAGAGAATAAGCGTTCGCGCGCGAGACTGATAGGTCCTGGACTGGAATCTCAAGGGGCAGGATCATGGATGCGCACTGCTGAGGAGTCCCATACTGGGACGAAACGGCCGTCCATTGGTTCCAGATCTTCCATGGTGTTCGGGCTTCAATTAACTCATGATCTCAACTATTAAAAAAACACTGTTTATCAAACGTAAAAGTAATTGAATAGAATGTCAGGTTACAAACGTTTTCTACACACGAAGATTATTTTTATTGATGTATGCTCCTATGACTTCCACTGTACGTGATAAACTGATTCTGGCAACTTAAAATAAGTACGACAGAAATCTTCTGATAACATTAAAAGTTCACTGTATTTTGATACTGGTTTTTAATCATTGAAAACAATATTCTAAACACGTATATCTTCATGTTCTGAACTCGTCAATTAGATGTACTTGGATCCAGTTGTTGATAATCACATTAATACTTAAACCCAGTGCTTTACAACACCTTTACAAATAAAACTTCTGATCAGTGCATAAGCTAACGACTACCTAAACTCAATAACTTATTGAATTACACAATGATATTTGAACTGAAAGGTATTAGATTCAAATCTCAACATGAATATTAACACTATGATTTGGCTAGTATATCCAACTGATGAATTCCAAATAGTGCGTAATCCTCGTCTTCTATTTCATTAATATTCACCTTTAAAATTGTGATAAAAGATCAAACAATGTTAACTGAACTATTCATATAAACTAATATAACAGCTACGGATGAATTTTACTAATCGAATATATATATATATATGCCTTTCATTCTAGACAAGAATGAAGTCTTTAGGGAATTGTATACATAATGCATTATTTAGTTATTAAGTATATTTTTGTTATCCCTTTTTTTCTAAAACAAAACTAAAGTGAAATATTCTAACTATGGAAAGGGAATCAGATTAAGAACTATTCTTTCTTCTGATCAATCTTCATCATTTTGGCCTGTTTATTTTCATCGAATACAATGATTACGTAATATTGAAGATTGAAGAAATGGAACATGAAAAAAGTAATCAACAACAGTCTTTCATAAGTGACTTAAATGTAATCTAATGAAAAGATCTATGAATTTATAAGAATTAATAATTGCATCAAAATCATCCCATAGAAATAAATGCATTTAATATCAGGTGAAATGGATGATAAGTAGTAGTGGAATCCAGGACGCGTGTTTCGTTTTATCTGAGACTTATCCACTAAGTGTACCAGGCTTATCAAAGTTAATGTTCAATACGGGGCTCGAACCCAGTACCGTTCGCCTCTACTTCAATACTGAGCCTAGATAGTTGCTAGTTTGTGCCAATGAATTGAAGTTGAATTCATCTTTATATTGGTGGTTTGAGTTTTTTTACAATTAACGTTTAGGACCGCGAGTGATCAGTATCTTATTGGCATACTTACATCCTGTGTGGATTTCCTCGATATTGCTTTCAGTCACAAGTATTATAAATAGAGCTGGATAATGGCTAACGGTAGGTTATGGTCTCGAAGTGGACATCAACTCTGGAATGCGGGTACCTCTAGCTTGTGACGAAACGTGCATCCTGGACTCCACCCATTTCTGCTTATAATGCTTGGGACTTGATTATAATATCAACACAATCCAAACTTGATGCACATATGCCAATGAGAAACTGGTATATTGAAGTTCTAAACATCGATGGGATTATTCAAACTACCACTACAAAAAAGAAATGAATGCATTCATTGTTTTAGGATGTTTTATTTTCTAGTATATTTGATATCTGGTTAGTAGTAGACTCCATAACGCGTAGGTTGACTGAATTGAGACTCATCATCTGAATATACCTTTATCTTATTTTCGATGCTAACAATGAGGTTTAAACTTAGTAACTCCTACTTTAAATGTTTAACCGATGTGAACAGAGGAACGAGAAGCTATGACAAACTACGAAAGCTATTTTTGGACACGTTATTTCACCTAATTCAAAGCCTGTAAAGCACTAACATTTATTTTCGTACCCAGTTCATTCTACAGACCATAAGTTTTCGTTTGATGTATGATTTACTGCCATATCATTTTCTGTTCTTGTTGGGGACGATATATCCCCAAAACTCATATTTGTAATTTTATCATATCGATTAATTTATCGATTAAATGATTAAATAGCAGTCAATTGATGAATTCATTGATTAATGTTTAGAAA